ATATATGTAAGCTAAATGAATCGTACAAAATATATTATATAAATTACGAACAAGTTGACAAACTCAACTATGAAATTATTTCCACAAGTCCAACTTTCAACAAGTCATAACTTGAAAATCAAGAAAAGTCTTAAAATTTACCCTGACTGTTCCTTTATTGCAATGGTATATGAAAATTACATTTGTTAAATCAATAAATTCACATAACGAAACCCATGAGAGAGAGAGAGAGAGAGAGAAAGAGAGGGAAATATCAACTCTGTACGAGGCCCCATATCTCTCCTTGTAGTACCTCTTAAGCATCACCTAAATAGCTAAGAGTACCTAAGTATTACTCCATAAAATATTTAAAATGCATACATATATCTTTTTATTTATAAAATATACATGTAACATGTAAAAAGTATTTTTATTAGTCATGGAGCACTTAATTTAGTTTCTTTCTCATATTTGTAACAACGAACGACATCTAAATCAATCAAATGATTTCCAGTTGGCTTTTAATTATTTTTCGGTTACATAAATACTGTTATTTATAAGTTAAGTTATTAATTACTGGTTTTAGACTATATAAATTTTCCTAGCAAAAATTACCCAGTTTCCACACACATACATATATCTTTAACTATAATCAGCGCCTCTTAACTTTCTGTGACTTTCCACACAATTTGCGGCAAGTGAATCCCAATGCAAGCCAAGTTAGGAGCACAACTAAAGCTAAAGCGGCTAAAACTGCAGCATAAACATCTATATTAAAGTAGGCCAGGGTGGACATGTGGACAGCCGGACTTTGCAGATGCACGGCTCCGTTGTACCTTAGCACGTAGTCCGTCCAGTAGACTACGGACTGTTTGGCCGTGAGCGGTCTGTCCCGGTACAGTTTTGAGAAGCTCTTGATGGCCCTGGCGTATTTCTCATTGCCAATTACCTCCTCAATCTTCGCCCTGAAGTTCTCCTCGTTGAGCTGTAAGAGGTCTTGGGTTAGCCCGTAGCCAGACTTTTCCATGCTATCCGCATTGGCGGGCTGATCACCGAAGATCGGTAGAGCCACCATTGGCACTCCGTGGTAGCGCGCCTCCGTAATGCCGCCCTTCCCGGCGTGCGTGATGAAGAGCTTGATCTTGGGATGGGCCAATATGTCGGCCGGCCAAGGCGGATGTACGGTACAAGCCACTTGGAGTAGAGAATATTATCCGATTTTCCAGGAGTTTTATCCAGATCCTCCCACTTCCAGATGACATTCTGCTTCAGGCTCGACAGCACCTTGAACATGGCCTGTATTAGCTCAGGTTTCACAGCGGTGCTCTTTATATTGGAGCCCAGGCAGAGCAAGATCGCTCCGTGCTGAGATGCCTCCAGAAACTTGGCTATGTCCTCCGGCAACGGATCGGGTTGCTCCTTGAGCTGAATGCCTCCGATTTCCACAATGGCTGGCACAAGTGGACGAATGCCACCCTCGCTTATCAAGTGACTATTCGTGAATACCATCGACACATTGCGCTTCATCTCGGCCAGCGTGGGGAAGTTCGGCTCCTCACCGAACTGTGTCTCATAGAACCGATCCAAACGTCTGTCAAGTATCAACATCATGGCCCTCACAAGTAATTCCTTACTCAGGTTTTCTAGACGCTTGGCAAAGCCCATCTGTTCACCCTGGCCCAAAGCCGTCTGTATATTAGGCACATAGGAGACCTCTGTGGGATTGCCAACATATGCGTTGATCATAGACACCGGCACCTGCATCCAGGAGACAATCACAGGCACCTTTAGCTTGGCGGCCACGCCCAATTGGAAATCGTTGATGAAGTAGCCCATGAACATCAAATCGAACTTCGTTTCGTAGATGCGCTGGAATCGAGGATCCGACAGCAACTGAAACTGCGACTCAATCATCGCACTCATGCCGCTCATCATGCGAATCATTGTGGAGAGGACCGAGTTCTTCTGCCCAGCCATCTCTTTCATCTGGCCCTCGAGTATGTGCTCCTGTTCGTCCGTTAATGGGACCACGATCAGATGAATGTCCTTGTGCATGATCGTCGGCTTCATCATGGTCACCACGGTCACATTGTGGCCGCTCTCGGCCAGCGCCTTGATCATCGACATGTGCAGTATCAAATGCGATTGACTGTGGCTGCTGAACAGACCCAAAATATTCGCCCCGCGCGCAGGCAGCGCGATCAGCAGGAGGCAGAGCCCGACTACACTCAACCGTAACGTGGCCATGTTGCTTGACGACTGTTCTCCGGTATGCCTTATTCTCGACCAGTCGACTGTAGGCCCCAAACAGGTCTATTTATAACTAAAAGCCAAACGAGACTCGGTTATCGAACTATTTTTTTTTTTCCTGCCTATCACTAACATTCAGATTACGAGCTGCCCAAACGTCATGGGCTTGTGCCACAATTCAGTTAAATAATGAAAATTGTATGAATTACAATCAAATTTTATGTATTGCAAGATTTATTTACATTGATGAGCGTTTTGGCGTCGACATTACACTTGCTCAGCTGTGTAGGTCAACAGATTCCTCTTTTAATTATTTCATATCTTTATCATGGACTCCATATACATATTTTATTTATGTATGTAGTTTTATATTTCGATACATATTGTTAAAGCATAAGTCAAGCTTATTTGATTTTTAGTATACATATATAATTAGTATACATATGTATATATTAGACATCCAAACAACAGCAATAAATCAGTCTGATATGTATGTAATTGATTTCACAATAGCAAGTAATTATACATGTAGTGTTTCAGAGAGCCAAACAATATACCCTCATTAAGTCAGTCTAATTCTGATGGACTGCCTTTGATATAGTCGTACTCCACCAAATAAATGCCTAAACCACTGGTTTAGTACAGTTTATATTTTCAAGTTAAGCCAAAGACCCAGTTGTCAGGGCCTAATTCTTAAATTTCGATTAATTCTAATCTCTAAAACAAACTAAATAAAATAAAAAGTACCGTCAAGAAAGCTATAATAAGCTATATAAGTAAATGAATATATATTTTCCAAAATGTAGTCAATTAATGCAACTATGGTATATCTTCTTTATCTTACAGAGCCCATCCACAAATTGTAAGGTAGACTTCTTTCTGTCTCTGTTATCGATAAATATCGAGTTATATAAAATGTGATATGTTCATTGATTGCAGGGTATATTTCAGTCGCCCACACTCGCCATTCTCTTTCTGCTTGGCATTCTCGCCATACAACTAAATTTTAATGATTAGACAAATGTTAAGCACCTATTGAAATTATGTAATTTCGACTGCGCCGTGACACAATTAGAAGAGCCGGCAAGCTTTTAAGTTACGCTAATTTACTCTCTTCAGTATTTGTATGTATGTAAAGCTAATGACTTGTAATATATAAAAATAATAGAGAGAGAGAGAGAGAGAGAGAGAGAGAGAGAGAGAGAGAGAGAGAGAGAGAGAGAGAGAGAGAGAGAGAGAGGGAGAGAGAGTCAGGGGAATACAGAGAGCAAAGCTTTCATTTATCAACTTCCGTGGCCCAGCTGATTAATAGTATATAAAACCGAGATAGTTTTTAATTGCGGCACATAAAACTCGTCTACACTCTCCATATAAAAAAGATAACTATATACATATATTTTATAGGCCATAGTACACCCAAATACCTGTACAACACTTAAACTTGGCTCATAAACTATTCAGCTTTCTTGCTGCCCGGTGGAATGGGATTCGTTTCCATGCGCAGCAGCTGCTGTGTTTGCCCCTTGATGTGGCCCCAATGGCTCATTACACGCAGCTCCGACTTGAACTCTCTCAGGGTTTGCTGTAGCTCCGGGTAGAGCTGTCGCAGCACTCCGTGATCCAAGGTGGGGAACATGTGATGTAGTGCGTGTTCGCCAAAGTGCGTGAGCACCAGCAAATCGGACCATTTGATGTCGCCACGATCGATGATCGTGTCGAGCTGAAAGAGACCCCAATCGCGATCGGGACGTGGCGCATCGCCGTCGTGGTAGATGCGAGGATCATGATGAGCCGCTGTCAAGCCAATGAAGCCAAATAGAAAGCTGCCCATGCCGAGGATAATCAACCAACTAAAGATCACAGAGCTGAGATCAGCATTTGTGGATGCATAGAGAAAGACGGGCAGCGTGAAGCCCAGTAGATCATGCCAGTACATTACGTTCCGTTTGAGCAGCGAGTAGACCAGTCTAAAATGGAAATGAATGTATTAGAAATATCATAATCAATGAAAAAGCCTTTTGACTAACCGCTCGGTAAACTGCACCAGACTCATAACTGTATATACAAAGGGCGATATCAGCACAGAGATCACGCGCTGCACTCTGCTGGCATAGTGCCGGCTGGGCACCCAGCAGAGGAAGGGCTCGAAGAGCGACATCTCCAGATCGTGCAACGAATTGGGATAGACGTGATGGGACAAGGCGTGCGATATGCGCCAGCTGTTGCAGTTGAGCAGCAGCAGGTTGAAGCTATACATGCGCCAATTGTCGCGCTGATGGAAGTAGTTGTGAGCCGATGTCGAGAGCCAGCAGAGCGACAGACCCGCAAGGGCACGCAGTGGCAGGGAGTTGAAGGCAGTGCCAGCCCAGCTGAAGAACAGCAGAGAGATCAGGATGCCGGTGTGTAGGAGCTGCGGGTGGAAATGCACTGTTTAAAAATATTTGAGCAGGTATTGAAGATAAGGCAAACTCCTATAGCTAAGCTAAGCGAATTGCAATTTAGATACTTCACCTAAGCAATCAAGGTTGAGAGCTCTAATTAAATGTAGTACTATATAACACTAAAGATTTCATATTTTTCGTATAATTATTTATCTGTCTATCAACTTGACCGTAAATTTAGACGTTTTTCTACGAAGCTTTAATATGTAAGCACCATATATATATAACATATATATATAATATATCTTTTAATATTAAAGCCAAGATCTGGAACCGGTATTTTCCGTTTACACTTTGATGTTAATACGCCTTCAAGGGGCGTGAATCCATAACGTTTCATTATATTTATTTATAGAACTGGTCAAGGTAAATAGAGTCCAATATCTCGCTAACATTGTTATAGATCTATCTATAAACTGTATAGTACTACATATAATCTTATCTCTTTACTTGCTAATTCTTCAAGAGAGATTATACACACAATAAACTCTTTCAGTCATAGCTCTAAGCCATTGTCTAATATATGTATACAAAATCATCATCATCAATCATCTGGCTAAAGCTCACAAACAGAAATACTTTAACGAACTACTTACATCTGTTTTATGGCTGGGTCGATAGTTCAGTTGGCGCAGCTTCGCTCGCACTCGTCTCTTTAAGGTCAAGTAGAAACCTTTCTCTTCCAGTGTAAATTTATAATTTCTCGGCTGAGCAGCTGATCGCACCTCGAATTTGCTGAGCATTCGTTGAGCGTGGTCCTCGATGTGATGTGACTCGAAGGGTTCGGTTATATCTGTGCCCTTTGTCCGTTCTATCCAGAAAGCACCACCCGGATGTCTTCGAGCAAAATCCGACAGATCGTAGAGCTTATCTTTGATACGCCATAGACCTTCGGCTGCATCGTCGCTGTGTTTTCCCTCCAGCCAGCTGCAAGAGCATGTGAATGGATTACAACTGTGATTGGGGTATGTGGAGTTTGGACGCACCTCTCTTCACTGATGGGCCACTCTCTGCGATAGCTGGGATACGTACGGGTTATGCCAGATACACGCCAAGCCTCCAGCTCAGCCAGCTTCTGATTGGGAGCCATTTTTCACTGATTTGGCTGTTAAATTACAGCCCACCCCAAGTGTTTTATATATTTGATTTATATATACATATTAAATTAATCGAAGTCCAAACGGTTAATTAATGCAATGATAAAACCGGTCTGGTTCCCCGCAGAACCTATTCGACTCGCCGTCTGCTTTGTTTATGAAATGCTTCGTGGAAAGTCGCTTCGCCCTGGTTTCGCCTATCAAAAGCTCTTCAAACATATCAAATTCAAAAGAGCTTTGAGCTTTTGTAGCGCCTCTTATCAGTGTCTTCAACAGCCCAGGCATACAAATACTGCGAGATCATATGGAATTAGATCATGCCGCAGCTTGGAGAGAAGTTTTGTGGTGTACTCTATGTTTTTATATGGGTTAAATAAAAATGTAAGCATTTTAATTATTAAAATTTTATTTTAATATTCTTAAACATTATTAATAATATTCACATTATTTAAATACTTGTATTTGCTGTAGCACTTCATTAATCTATGATTAATTTCAAATCTAAGATTTTTTGCTGTAAATATATATACATATAGAGCTGCAGCCATGTCATGCCAATTCATTCTTCAGAGAGAGAAATTTTCCGTTCATTGCGCAGAGGCAGAGATAATACCAGCATCAATATTAATCATGACTCATCAGAGGTAAATGCTACTACCTTGCAATCAATTGTGCTCTATATATATTTTTATATTTTCAGATTAAACCGCATCGTCATCTAAGGGTGTCCAATAACATCATCATCATCATCAACATCATTATTATATAGCCGATATATAAATCTGTTAGCAAAGATGTTCCAGTATTATATTAAGTGGCCGTACATGCTAAAATTTAACATATATAAATATGTATATATAAATGTATATAGAATTAATTAACCAAAAATTGTATAAATTTGAAGAGCAATAAATGATCAAACTGCTTTTTATTTAAAACGGGATCTTTGCTAATTTCCAGCAGCAAGCAGAAATCAACTGTCAAAAATATGAACTATACTAAATATAGTTGCATAACTTAAGGAGCTGTTCGTTAACATACAGTATACATGTATAAAATAGTATGTGTATTGAATATACTATAATATGTATTATATACACACACAATACTATTAAAGCAAAATAATAATTTACTGAAATGAGCACGCACAATAACTTGGAATGACGTTAAAAATTGCTTTCAAATTCAAATTCTTTAAATTAAATTATTTTTAAATTTAAATTTTTGTTTAATTTTGTATTCTATTAATACTTGAAAAACGAAACAAATAAATGTTTTGCAATTTGATAAGAAATCTATAAAAAATATATTAACATGGCACTGAAATAGAAAAAAGGTAGCTAGAATAAATACTACCACTAGTTGCACATTTCCTTGGTACAAGTTCACATAAAGCTGCGGCCACGCCTTCTATTTTACATATATATGCATATGTATTAGTATACCCTGAACTCATTGAAAATAGAAGGCCAGGGTAAATCGATTTTAGGAACATTTATGTAACAGGTAGAAGGAATCGTAGCAGAGCCCTTGAGTTATATATATTCTTGATCAGAGCAACGAACTGATCCGATATATCTATGTTCGTTTGTTCATTTGTCCGCATGAAGAGAACAGTCTCGCATAAATAGCAGCTGTGCGCTGAGTTCAGGGTATCTCCTAGTCGGCTACTCCTGACCACAGCACTGCTACTTGTTTATGGTTCACTTACCAAATTCATATATTTAGTTTTGAGTGTATGTTAATCGCTCAGAGTGTGAAATACATCTGTGTGACAAGACGTCAATTTTATAGTTGTAGACAGATACTCTTATCAGTCACTTAAAAAATAAGTGAAAAATATGCGATGGAAAAACGAAGATTAAATGTCCTGACACTAATAAAGAATCGCAGATTTATTAGAAAAAAAAAATGTTTTAAAATATTTATTTAATATTAAAATGACTAGAGTTTGTATATTAACATTAAAACATAGCTAGAATATTCATATACAAAGTTGCATTCATATCGAAACAGTTTCTCAAAAGGTTATACAAATTTGATTGAAGTTTACCCTTAACAACAATCATCATAATTTTCCCATAATAATTCCCATAGTGAAAACGTATTTTATTGCGTATAAATGTAAGTCAATTTTCGATAACAGAAACTAGTTTTGATTTCACATAGCTGATTTCACAATGAATACCCTATACAAAAATCTGCTGAGTCTTGGTTAGCTTTGCAAAATGCCGAACACCTATAAAGTGCGAGCTGTCTATCATGTGGGTATTAGCCTAGGTCTGACCCCAGCACAGGGTCTGTAAGCAAACAGCTTCTGATCCGCATCAGCACTGATTGTAAGCCGATCTGGCTATCTGTTAAACCGCCCGGCGCTGTACTCTGCAGCCAGCGGGTTTTCACGTGTCGAGTCGACGATGTCATCAGCTTAGGGCTCTTCGTAATGCTGTTACTGTAATATGAGCGCAGGCTCGACATCGCCGCGGCTGATAATACGACGCGTTATAGTTATCACAATGGAAATATTTTTGATACCCTGTACATAGAGTCTGGATGGGCATATTATGTGTGTGTGTGCTACTGGTAGGGGGTGTGGCATGAAACTAAAGTTTTGAGTCTTTTAAAAAAGAATTTGAGAAGTATAACCAATGGGCATTACAGTGTCTTTCCAGTCGTGTACTCTCAACTACTCCATACCATTTATCCATTTACATAATTTCTAATGTCTTTCGACAACATGATCAAATATCAATACATACTGATGTCTTGAATTTCTACTGATTCTTATTGCAGGGTATACGCTAGTCTGGCACTCTCTCCCCAGCCGTGGCAACTTGTTATTTGTTCATTTACGACAGGCAAGTGTCGTCGTTTAAAATCTAAAACGCGCATTAGATGCTGCTCAGTACGCGGCAGAGGCAGCTCGGTTTAGGTTCTATTCAGAATCAATAAGAAGGATCAAAGCTAACCATGGTGATTGATACATGGAAGAAGAGCGGCATAGCCACCAAATTTCCAACGTATCGCAATTCCTCGCTGGTCACGGTGCACAGCTGGCAGACGGGCAAGCGACAGGACGATGAGGCCGAAGGACTTTGGCGCATCAAAGATAGCATTTACGATTTCACATCGTTCATTGACAAACATCCGGGTGGGCCCTTCTGGATACGGGAGACTAAGGGGATGGACATTACGGAAGCCTTCGAGGCTCATCATTTGACCACGGCGCCCGAGAAAATGATCGCCAAGTACAAGGTGAGAGATGCGGCCAAGCCGCGCATCTATACTCTGACTCTGCACGAGGATGGCTTCTATAAGACCCTCAAGGAGAAGGTACGCGAGCAGCTGAAGACAATCGATAAGACTCCAAAGCGAAAGAGCGACGTGAGTAGAGAACTATTGCTGATCCTCATAGATGATTTAACTGATCAAGATTGATCTTCGACTTTAGTTGATTCACCTGGGCATCCTGCTGTCCACCTACCTGTTTGCCGTGGCTAGTGCTAAATATGACAGCCTTCTGGCACTGATCCTCGCCGGCGTGGCTCTGTGCTGGACGGTGATCGTATCGCATAACTATTTCCATCGCCGCGACAACTGGCAGATGTATACCTTCAATTTGGGCATGATGAACTTTTGCTCGTGGCGCATCTCGCATGCAATTTCGCACCACATCTATCCCAACTCCTACATGGATCTGGAGCTGAGCATGTTTGAGCCGTTGCTCTGCTGGGTGCCCAATCCGCATATCAAGACCAAGGCGCTGCGCTACGTTTCCTGGGTGACAGAACCCTTCGCCTATGCCATTGCATTCTTCCTACAAATGGGCACGCGGTAGGTGGCTGATCGATCGTAAAAACTGATAGATCAATAATCGTATTACCTCTCTGTATACACAGCATCTTCTACTCGCTGCGTCACGCGAATATTATGTACTGGCACGATTTGCTGCCCCTCACCATTCCCCTGGTCATGTACTACGGATCGACTGGGTCGGCGACTCTGTTGTTCTGCGTACGCCAGTGGCTAGCGATGACGTCCATTGCGAGCTTCGCCTTTTGCGTAATCGGCCTGAATGCGGCGCACCACGATCCGGAAATCTACCATGAAGGTGATGCGAATCGCGAGGATCGCGACTGGGGCCTGTTCCAGGTGGACACCATCATCGACCGCGGCGATCTGAAGTGGTCACAGTTCTTAGTGCTCACGCATTTCGGTGATCATGTGCTGCATCATCTGTTCCCCACCCTCGATCATGGACTGCTGCCCGCTCTCTATCCCGTACTCTATGAGACTCTCGATCAGTTCAAGGGAAAACTGCGCGAATGCAATCACATCGAGCACATAATCGGACAGCACAAGCAGCTGCTGCGCACCGAACCCAATCCTAGGGCTCCTGGATCTGGCAAGTAGAACATCTTCTCGGAAAGCCCTGAAAACAGGGCTTGTAGCATAAGGCAATGGATATTATTATCCTATAATAGAACTAGCTTTACAAATATATCTTGCTTAAATATATAAATGTGGTTTTATTTTGAATATTTTTGTAAGGCAGATCAAGAATATTAATATCTTAAAGTTTTAAATTTTTAAATATATAATAACCCTAATTAGAGCTAGAATGTTGAATGCAGCCGGTAAAGCCCCATATTCCCCACATTATTTCTCCAATAAAAACAAATGAGGTTTTTTTTTAATTGATTTACATTTATTTTGTTCCTTTTTTGTATACTTTTTTTGTTTTGGTTTTTATTTTAGTTGTAGTTTTTGATCTTTTAATCTTATAATGTTTTGATAAAATTAAAAAATTTAACATAAACATAAGCGCCGTGAGAGGCGAGAGAGTATGCTCTGTCTGTATGGATCTGTTGAACTGGGTATACATTTAATAGACATTAACATATAGACACACTTCGATATTTGTTAGATTAGTGCAACTGCGACACTTCCTGACGGACATCCCCACCTATTTTTTTTCTCTATGTTTAACTCACATTTGACGGGGCTCATTTGATGTTGAATTAGTTCATTTAATGTTGAATGCGTTTTGAAAGTTGTATAAAAATATAAATACAATAAACAGGACTCGAGAGATGTCCGAGAGCAAATGTCGCGTTTACAAGGCTGTGCTACCGACTCCCCTCACATAGAACTTATGCCTGTCGATCATTGATCGTCGATCGTTGTTGTTGTTGTTAAACAGATGTTATATTGTTTTTTCTCCGGGCTCTTAAGATTTTCCGTATTTTTTCCTGGGGCCCGGTTAAAAGTTTTGCTTGCTGTTGTTGTTATTTGCCTAAGTGCATTGTGCCTCCCGTCGTTTCGATATATATTTTGTTATAGTTTTATTATTTTTGTTTAAATTAAGAAATTAAGCTTTAAATCATAAACATAATCATTATGAAATATCATTTAAAATAAATTAAAAAATGAAATGGCATTTAGAATTCGTTTTCAGGAGCAAGGTCGAATCTTGGTGGGAAAGCCAATCCGTCGAATTGTGGCCTAACGGATGTCGCACGGGGCTGCAGTAAACAAAGAGAGAGAAAGAGAGAGAGAGAGAATATATATATTAAATGTTTTCCATACATGTTCTATATTAAAGGTATGATATACTATCAATAGCCGGTACATGCTTTCGGGGTGGGGAGTAGACGAGTCACTAAAAGTCCGTTGAGACCTTTTTCTTTTCATGGACTAATTCAAAACGAAAACAACGAATCGTGGGGTGAACGCCTAGCGGCACGTTATATGGTGCACACAGTGACGAGAGGGGAATTCGAGCATATCTATAGATAACGGGATAAACGAGGAGTACGAAGGTGGCGTGAGCAACGCGACAGGTAAGTAAATGCTCGAGACGTTCTGTAGGTTCAGGAAATGTACGAAAGAGAAACCAACATCAAATGATCGACTGAATGAAGGTAATGAATGAAACGAGTGAATGCGATACTTAAGTGAATCGAATGAGTGAAGTAAACAACTCGATGTAATTCATGAATGAGTCGAATGTATGATGATGACGAATGTTTGAAATAAATGAATGCGAGAGAATGAACACTTCTCCTGAGAGATTATGCAGACAAATGAACGCAACTCCTTTAATTGAGAGCGTGAAGGTAACGAAATACCGTTACTCCTGAGAGAGAATGAACAAGCAACAAATGTTAACAGAGCGAAAACTGAGTAAATGAATGCAGCTCGAGGAAGAGCCTTATTGAAAGCAGGTCATGAGACACAGAGCGAGTACGAAAGAGACAGCACCAAGTGAATATGCTTGAAGGATTTCTTGAAAGATCTTCTTGTGCATGTGCAAATGTGCTTGTATATGCGTGTGGTGTATGTGTGTGTGTTGTTGTGTATGGGAAATRATGAATTTTCCAACATTCTGACACAACAAGAACAACAACAAGAACGAGAACGAGAACGAGCACGTTTCCACTTTACAGGCGTTGCCACTTACAAATGTTGTCAAGAAAGTTTCTACTGCTCCAGCGCGCCCTCTAGCGGCCACCCTTTGACGCTGTAGGCTGCAGTACACAAATACATACATATATACATATATATGTACATATGTATTCGTATATACATATACATAGATATGTATATATGTGATTGTGTTGTGTTTTTAATAATGTAGTGGAAGAATAGTTTGTTTTTTTWTTATATATAAATATTWAATTTATATATATTGTATGCAGTATGGCTGTAGAGAAAGCAAAGTCGATTGATTGATGCTGTTTTGCTTGCTGTTGATCTTCATAGTTAGAAAAAATTGTCAAAATGAACGCATTATTGGTTGGTACTAGAGCCAATCGGTGGCTCGACGGATCGATAATTGTTATCGATGCTCTTTCATGAACTTTCTTGATGTTCTGTTTGGTTGTTTTTTTTTTTTTTTTTTTTTTTTTTTTTTTTTTTTTTTTTTTTTTTTTTAGATTTTTCTGGTTCTTTGCGTTTTCGTCTCGCCCAGGTGCTTGGGGTTTTGCCTCTAATTACAATTCTCTGTTCTACCGAATGTCGATGTATGATGCATCTATATTATTATTATTAGTGTATATATATTTTAATTCTTATAAGCTATAATTCTCTTTGCATGTTTTCTTTTTCATTCTTCTTTTTTTTACACATAATTGAACCATTATAGATTTGTTTCTTTTTTTTTAGCTTTTATTTATTTTTTTTTATTTTTTGCATTTTTGTGGATGGGCCTCAACATTTTGCATTTAAATCTGTTATCGTAGAGGTGCGAAGGTGTGAAGAAGAAGCAGAGCGCGTACCGCAAATATGAAAGGGAAGAATATATATAAAAGCAAATATAGAAGCAGTCGTAATTCGATATACTGAAGATGGAATTGTTCTCGAATGGTAAGCCAAAGAGTCAAATATGGAGAGTGCTGGGTGATTGGGAGGTATTCGATGGGGGTGTACTTACCGCTGGGCTGGCACCACGACCGACAGAACCGGCACGTCCCTTGGCGCGGAATTTGCTAATGGCCTGTTCAGCCAGATCGGCACGCTCCTCGGCTTCCTCGAGCTCCTGCTGGGCCTTGCGGAATTTGGCCAAGTTGAGGGCGGCGATTTCCTCAGCCTCCTCGATCTGCCTCTTGTATGTCTTGATCTTCTGTTGCAGCTTGTCGACCAGATCCTGCATGCGCTCGTGGTTCTTGCGATCCTCCTCAGACTGGAAGCTCAACTCCTTGATGCGGCGCTCAGATTTGCGCAAGTTCTTCTGGGCATCGGCGTGTCTCCTCTGCTCACCATCCAGCTCGTTCTCGAGCTCGCGGACGCGCTGCTCCAACTTCTGGATAGCCTTCTTGCCACCCTTGAGGGCATTGGCTTCGGCCTCATCCAGGCGCACCTGCAATTCCTTGATCTGCTGCTCGAGAGCCTTCCTCAATTTCTCCTGGGTCTGGGCATGATCCTGCTCAGCGCGGAGCTCATCGGCCAGGCGGGCGGCATCAACCATAGCCTTCTTGGCCTTCTCCTCGGAGTTCTTGGCTTCGTTGAGGAGCTCATCCAGGTCAGAGTGCAGAGTCTGCAGCTCCGATTCCAATTTCCTCTTGGCAGCGGAGATGGAAGCATTCTGGGCGGAAACCTCGTTCAGCTGTTCGTGGGCATCGGCCAATTCCTGCTCGGCCTGGCGACGACCGCGATCGGCCTGCTCCAGCAGAGTGCGAGACTCCTCGAGCTCGTTCTGCAAGGCGTTGGCACGACGCTCAGAGATGCCCAACTGTTCACGGGCATCATCACGAGCTCTCTGCTCTTCCTCAAGGGCGGTCTGAATGTCCTTGAGCTGCTGTTGGTAGCGCTTGATGTTCTTCTGGGCCTCGGCGTTAGCCTAAGTGGAACAAACGGAAATCCCAGTTTAGTAATTGACTAGCGAGTCGCAGCAGCTGTGCTTAACACTCACCTTGTTGGCATGATCCAGAGCAATCTCCAACTCGTTGATGTCGGCTTCCAACTTCTTCTTCATGCGGAGCGCCTCAGCCTTGCCCTTGGCTTCGGCTTCGAGGGAGGCTTGCATGGAGTCGAGAGCGCGCTGGTGGTTCTTGCGGGTATTCTCGAATTCCTCTTCCTTCTCCTGGATGCGGCGATCGATTTCCTGGCGCACCTGCGACAGCTCAAGCTGAGCGCGCAGCACCTTGTTCTCCTCCTGTTCAAGAGCAGCCTCGGCTTCCTCAAGAGCAGCCTGGAGTTCGTCCTTTTCGGCTTCCAGGCGCTTGCGGGCCTTCTCGATCTCATGGATGTTGCGGCCACCCTCACCGATCTGGTCGAGCAGATCCTTGACTTCATCGGCCAAGTTCTTGTTCTCGCGACGCACAGCCTCCAGCTGCTCCTGGCCCTCCTCGTAGGCGCCCTTAAGACGGAACAACTCGGTGGAGTAGTTGCGGCACTCCTTCTGGGAGGCATCGAGCTCAGCGGCCAAGTCATCAACCTTGAGCTTCCATTCGCCAATGATCTTGTCGAAGGCCTTCTGCTTCTTCTCGGCGGCGTTGGCAATGGCGTTGGCACGGTCGACCTCCAGCTGCAAGTCCTCCACCTCGGTGGACAGGCGCTGCTTGGTCTTCTCCAGGCCGATGCACTTCTGGTTGAGCGACTCAATGGTCTCCTCAGCCTCGGCAAGGCGAGCCTGCAACTTCCTCTTGGCCTCCTCCAGCTCCTCAGAGCGGGCAACACCATCGGACTCGTACTTGCTGCGCCAGACCTGGGCCTCGGCGTTGGCCTTGCTGAGCTGACGCTGCAGATCAGCCTTGCCCTCAGCCTCCTCCTCAACCTGCTCGCGCAAGTTGTCGAGGTCGTGCTCCAAGTTGCGGAACTTGCCCAAAAGGGTGGCACGCTCGCGCGACTCCTCGTCGGCCAGACGCTTGGTATCCTCCAGCTGGGTGGTCAACGAGATCTTGATCTTGGAGAGCTGAGACACCTGGGACTCGGCCTCCTCCAATTGACGCAGTAGATCGGAGTTCTCAATGGACAGCTTCTTCTTGCTGGCATCGAAGTCGTTCAGAGTCCTGTTGGTCT